AAATCAAATTTCCAGTAGGGCTGCGATATATGCATAAGACCCATGTTTTAGTTTTAGCATAAGACCCATAGTTAAGGCAGTGATGGATATTTTGCAGTCTTTCTGTTTCACAAGATGAGTGTAGGATACATAACTAATAGTATTTTTAATAAAAATGCATGTCTCACCATATGCATGATGTGCATTGTTAGTATTTCGACATGAGCTGCTGGTTAGAGAGAAACCTGTTTTATCTAATTGTTCTTTAGTCAGCTAGTGTTCTGTGAAGCACAACATTGAAATGTGGTTGATTTTCTCCTCAAGTAATATTTCTATATCAGTGAGTTTATTTTTCAGTGACTGGAATCTATTACATTTCTTCATAGAAATATCATCTGCCCAGCCACTCTGAGAGCACCAACTACTATTGATATATTAACTTTTAACTTTAATAAATTGTTCATCATCGTCGTCGCCCTTCTCCGGCGTCGTCGAAGGACAAGGCCGATTGACCTGACGGTAAGAGCTCTCCTTCTTCTTGTGGGTTTATCTGGAGAATCTCGAGAGTTTAAGATTCGTCTTCTATTATGATTCAGATTCGAGTGGGGTCTCTTTCTTCTTTATTTAAATCTTTCCTTATTTTATAGGCCATAATTTGCACTTCGTGTACATCCTGTTCTGTGTCTGAGATCCAACTTTCCTTTTTTAGTTTGCTATTTTTTTCTTTTCCGTATACGTATTCCGTATACTGTAACACCTCCCGGCGTAGGGAAACGCGCGGTTAGCGGCCCGGTTCTAGCTCAGTGCGGTCTGCCATACTCCTTACTTGTATAAAAAGCTAGCATTGAAAAACTTTACTCGTGTAGAAAATAGCCATTGTTAACAATTTCCGCAACTTAAGATTCAGTTGATGGAAGGCATTGTTAAGCTAAGCATGCATGGGCATTCAAATAAACAATTTGATTACTGGTAAGACAACAAGTGTATTCCTGGACAGAGCTGTACCAGGAAGTTACATAAAAAAAATAAAAGGAAAGAATAGATTGGATAAAAGAAAAATAAAGATTAAATTAAAGGAAGCTCTAACTAGAGAAGTGTACAAATTATTTATTTATTTAGATTTACAGAGTTGTCCCTGAGACCTTTCTTGTTGCCTTGGCGCGGCACCGCTGTTGACAATACTGCAAAAAGGTTTATTGCCCCCAGTTACATAGCCTGAGAAGCCCTTCGTGCAAGTGTGTGCGGGGCGAAAGGGCGCTTGGGAGCGCGGTCGGAGCTTGTAGGCGACTCCTGAAGACGGTGCGTCCTCTCAACCAGCAGTGGCAGCGCGCTCTTGCGCAGTCCGGACGTCAGCAGAGGTGTCTGGAGGCTTCTTCGGCAAATTTCTAGATTAGACTGGCAATCTTGCCTGCGATCGCAGTGGGCGGACCGACAACAATGTTCTCTGCCGTATGCAACTCCTCTCGTTGATGTTAGTACTGCGAAATCTGCAGCGAAGTAGCAGTGACAAAAGATTCGACCAATTTACTTTTATTAGTCTTTTTGCAATCCCTTCTAAATTCTCACTGAGAATTCGGTCATCACCCCAGTGATATTCAACTAAACAAATTTTAACAAGTGTCTTCGAGCGCATTAGCCTCCCGCGACCGGCTCCACCCAGAGAAGTCTCTGTCTCCACTGTAATTTATTTCTTCTAACTGCACGTACTGTTAATTTTATCCCACCCTTTCTCCTCATATTTCTTGCATCCCTACACGGTCGCGTCGCTATTGAGCTAAATGAGTGATGCGATTGTACACTAGAATTTTAGCGCAATAGGCTCAGCGGCAGGTATAGGATATTATCCATTCTCTATGTTTCGAAGTAGCGCCACGTCTCTGTAAGGGATTTCCCTGACTGAGAATTATTGCTTTCGGGGTTTCTCCGATCACTCATTTGGACAGGCGTTTCGGAAGTATTCGACGTGGTCCCGTGGCGCTTTTACAGTTTACCCCTGTTCGGTGTTGTTGAGCGGTGTCATAAACATTCGAAAATGGGTCAGGGACCGTTGGTGGTTGCCAGTAAGGAGGCGGCGCGGTTGACAGCCGTATGTTTTTCTTCAGTAAAAAATGTCTTAGGTCTGCTTTACTCAATTTAATGTATCTGAATAATTCTGTACCGCTACAATACGCACTAATATACGTAGTATGTAATGCTGCGGAAAACCGATTTGAAGATTTGAACGGAAATGCACGTTTTGGGGTACCCTGATACCGAAAAAGTATTGTGTTTCAAAACGCCCGTCCGTCCCTCCGACCGTCCGACCGGCTATTAGCACCACTATCGCCTAAACCATACGTAGGATTTTTTCCAAAATGAATATTCCCTGGTCGCTCTGGCTCGACTTATCGAGCTGCCATTTTGAAAAATTTTCTTCAAAGTTTGGGGGTACTTTACATGAATCCCCGGTAATTTTCAAATTTTTTTCAAAACAGACTCCAAATTTTATCTTTAAAATTTCTTGTAAAATAGAGTAAAATGCATTTATAGAAGGTGGCATAGATCTGATTTTCAGTGTTAACTTTGAATTTTCAAAAATTTTCGAAAAAAAATAAAAAAATGTTGAAATCTTTCGAGCATCTTCCTACAACTACAAAATTGAAGAGAGGGATTTTTATTCAAATAAATGTGTTCTACATAGTGAGTTCTTTCATTAAGGTCATGTACATTTTGTTTTAAAAATTTTAGTCGTTATCGCCCAATATTGCGTGCAATATGTGCAAAAATAACAAAAGCAAGATTTCTCAGAAACAGCTCCAAATTTTTCTTTAAACCTTTGATGGGAGTAATGATAAATATACTCTATGAGATGACATAAACATCAGTCTGCTCTATTCTTTTGTTTTTTCAAAAAGTACAAAAATGTAATTTTTTTGACTTGTCTCTCACGTGAATATTCGCACGAGTGGTGATTTGTCCACATTCTATATAAAAATTTACCATTTTCGTTTACCAATTCTCAAAACAAGAACAAGTGCTCTCAGAGATGGGTTGCGAGTTAAGTTAAATACTCTGTATAATGCTTATGTAATGACATAAAATTAAGATTTTCATTTCTCTCAGAGAGAGAATAGTGTTGTGTTTTGGATTTAAATGTTGGTGTTCTTTTTTTGTATTAGTTTTCTATGTAGGAACAATGTATTCGTGGCTGTTAGAAGGTATTGGAAATTTAAAGCTTCTGGAGTAGTTTTCTATACTTGAGGTATCTTCTCAAAAATATGGGCAATCTGAGTAGGAACTTTGATATAAAATTAGTTTAAACCCTTCTATTTTAAAAGAAATGAAATCATAAAAATCAAACTTTCTTCTATGATAACTGTGCCTACCTCCTTAATTTAGTTACTTGTAATTTATTGATCTAGGCTATCTAAACAAAATAAATTATTATTCAAAAGATGCCACTAATTTTTCAATCAAAATTATGTCATTTAGTTATATTTTAAATTCAACACCCTGGTATTTTTTTGACAGATTATGACATTGAAAGATTATTGAAACTCTCCTGTACACATTTGCACTCTATCTGTACAGCGTTGTATATGAATTGTTCTTAGGAATTGTGAGATTAATGAATTAAGAATATAACGAAGCCTTTCTCTTGTTGACATAGTTTTTTGTTTGACATTCATTCAAATTTCAATTTATAAAGATCAATGTCCTAAATGTTGCAGGAGAGCAGCAAAGTTCCTTGGAAAGAGGCTCTGCAAACATCCCAGTCACCCTCCAACACATCTGCAGTATCTGTGAGAATGGCGTACAACAGATCAAGAAATAATGATCATCACACTAATTTAGAGCATGCCTCTAAAGGAGGGTTGTTAAAATGTGATAAAAGATCCAAGGACCGTAATATTTATAACAGACCATCTCATTCTAGAGTTACAGAAGACATGTTTGGTTCAAATATATCTGGATCCCGCTTTTATGAACATAAACGCATGAATAGATTTGAGGTAGACCATCATAAAAGATGCACTTTGAATACAGATAGACATTATGCTGCAATTGATTCTCATGAGCAAATACCTCGTGACAAAATCCCTTATTCTGAGTCTTTTAGATTAAAACTACCTGGTGTATGTGGTGCTGGAAGTGATAACATAAAACCTTCGAGGAAAGACCACAAATTAAGGAACCACACCAAGAATAATGACGTTGCTTACAGGTTTAAGAAAAGAGGTCGTTCCCCATGTCCTGGGCCGAAACAAGATAACGCTCCGATGACGTGTCATAATAAAGATTATAGAATGGCAAATCATGAATCCAATAAAGATAAACATTTTTTTCACAGAAACGTCTGTATGAGATATCCTAATCAAATAAATTATGTGATTCCCGCCACATCTTACGACCTTAGTATATCGCCCAGTATTACTTCGTCTATGCCTCCGGATTGTGATGAAATTATAAAACAAAGAGCAAAATGCGTATGTGCCTCTAGGGCTTCTACTGCGGGTAGCGTCAGTTCAAGAGGTAAAAGTAAGAAATTCAATAATGAAAGAGCAGCTCGCACTCTTCAATATTCAGGAACAAACGATTCCGATTTTGAAGCATTGTGTGGGTCATCAGAAAGTCCGGATAGTTCGCGTTTTGATACTGATGTGTCACATGAATATCAAATATCTGATGAACTCGGAGATGAGTATCAGAAGTATTCACTTTATGGTCTTCATGCGCCTCAAACTAACATAATTTCGTCTAGGATTGATCGGATAAAATCATCTGGAAGTGGTTACAACTATCCTGTCACTTGCGGCAATCCGAGCCACGACAAAATATTTGAAAACCTCTCCATAATGACTAGTTATGTGACACCTACTATGAATAACAATCAATATTCATCTGGAAACATATCTGCCGTCTCAACGATGAATCCAATATTACACCAAAACTCAGTTGCAAATTCTTTTGCATCTACTATTGATTGTTACAAACCAGATAGAATTGACAGTTACATTGGAGTAGGTGTTACCCCTAAAGTACCTGTCTCACCTGAGCCTATCAAAATAGGAATAAAAACTACAGGGACCTTTGATCCTCCTCAAGCAGGTGGATTTGTTCAACTGAGCGGCAATATCAATGAGCAGCACTGTGCACCATCAGTTGACCGTGAAGCTCAAAATCTAAAAGGTAATTTCCATAACCGGCGGAGACTAACTACCAATGTGACTATATTTCTTTTAATTAACCTTGTAATTTTATTATGTACCCTAAAAATATTTCTAATGTTCAGACTCCTGAGATGGGGATGATAAACAAAAATGCAAAAAATCCAAACATTATTCACATGCAATTGTACATTTTCTTTGTTTGGGAATATTCTTCAAGCCACGAATATTGATCGAACCGAGAATTCTGGTGAGTTGCGAGATCCAATAAAATTACCATCTGATGTTAGGATTTAATTAACTATAAAAACGTTAAATGACTTCCACATGTTTGTTTACAGGCTTCTCATTTTTTTATTAATTACAATTTAATTCTAATAAATAAAAATACACCACTAAAAGTTCAGTATCGAATTTATAGCCCCATCATTGAACCATCTTTGTTTAAACATACAAAAAATGTTCTTCCATTCGGTAAAACCTTGAGTCAATCACGTTCCTATTTCTGAAGAATGTTATGTCCATTGTACCAAAATTCTACAATTGTCCATCAAACAAACAAATATTAATGAGGATTTGGAAGATCTTTGCAGAAAACATCCAATTTTGAGAGTAAACTGTGACTGTAAAAATACATAACCATTCTTAAGAAAAATTATCTAATTACTGGAATAAGTAGCAGATATAACAAGACATATAGACATACCAGATATTATTTAGATTACTGGATACTACTAGATATACAAAATACCCCAGGAACACATTTCTCTTAAATATTTTTCGTGAATGATATCTATGTGGAAAGATGTTGAAATAAGAATATTTACAATTTTTCGAAAATATCTCTAGTTTGCGCGTAAATTTGCATGTAATAAAAGCAAAGCTTTGTTGATATGTATCAAAGGACGATAATAGTGCTTTATACAATTAGTTTAAGTTACATTTTATTGCATGAGTACATGTTTTGAAAACAATCGACGTCAGGAGCGATTTTTCAAATTTGTACGAATGCAAAAGTAACATTATAAAAGAGTTGCATACGCTATATTTTTTTGTACAACAGTATTATAAATATATAGAAGAATCAAACTTAATTTTGCGAAACAACTTTCTTGTGATGTCTCGGGTATTTATTATCTCTGCGTGAAAACAGTGTTCGGCTGTTCCGTTTGCAAAGTTAGAAATAATGCTAGGACGTATGTACTGTTGCTGCACCACTTGTTGTTCTTAAATATACATTTTTTAGGACGCTGACAATCATTGATTTGTTTCTTTCCATTTGCATTTTGTTCAGCATATGATGCATTTTGCGCTGTTTGTTATAATTTGAGTTATGGTTTTGTCTTTAGCTGTGGGTAAAACAAGATTATTCATTCGAAAATTGAACATTTAGAATCCATTCTGGAAGCATTTTTAGTATTGTAACAGTTGGTAAAATGTAGATGCGATGGATTCGTATTAAAATTGTCTCAATAAAAACATGATTATAATGCATTCAACTACACTGATTGAAATTACATAAAAATAACATAATAAACGTGCATATGCATATACAAGTACAGTGAAATTGTAATATATAAAAATTGAAAATATTTCATAAAGAATATACAGTCAAACATTTGAAATATTGTATTTATTATATATGTTTATTATATTATTGCAGCTAATATATTTATTTGTATCTTCCAAACAAATCAGTGTATGCAACCAAAACCATGAGTTTTACAGACATTTTATGAGTATTTTTGTGAGTAATTTTGAATTACAATATGTTTCAGGGCGCAAGAACACTATCGTATGTCCACAAGTTATAATTCAAAATCAGCACACATCAAAAACCACGTGAGTAAATAGATTTGATTCAAAATATACATAATATGATTTACTGTATTTTTTATTGACTAAAGCATACATTGAAGTTAGTTTTGCTTCGCCACCCTATCATGTATGTTTCGCAAATAGTTACTTTCAGACACTTTAATTTGTTCTTTAGGAGATTCCCCCTGAATTTTCACTAAAGCACAGTGGCCCCGATTTCAAAGTATAGTCTGTGATTTTCACTAAGTTGCTACAGACGTTACACTACAAATTAATTCAATGTTTGCTAATTCTTTGATATGTCCCTTTACATCGCCTTTTCAAAATTTCGTTGGTAGAGTATGACGCAGCACAACGAATTTTGGAGGTTGTGTATGCGCCTGCGGTCCCCTACACAGCTGCTCCCCTATATACCTTTAATTTGTTTGATGCAGGATTATGGGTTAATTACTAACCCGAACTAGCACACTTTTGAGGTTTTATACCAATGATTTCTTATTAAATATACAAAATCTTGTCTAACCTTAAATATATAAAACATCTTTCCTCATCGAATTACGTAGCGCATCCAGAAAGTAAGTTTCCCTATTTTGTGAAATAAAAGACAACATAGTTACACGCAAAACGTTATTGGCAACAGGTACAGCAATGTTTGAACTATTTTTCGTCGTCACCACAGGAATTGAAACGCTTGTCACTTCGTGGTATCAGCTTTTGTATACCTGTCTCGTAGAAGTGTGCCACCTGCGACTGGGACCAGCGTGACACAGTCGTCTTCAGCTCTTCGTTGTTGTGAAATCGCTGACCGGCGGATAGGACTGTCTTCAGGTATACGCAAATATGGAAATTGCTGATTGCGCTATCAGGATTGTATGGGGGATGATGAAAACGCTCCCAGCCGTTCTGCAGAACGGTTGCCAGGTTTTCCGGGTGTCAGGTATTTCGGTACCCACCAGGCAGACAGTTCCTTAAACAGCATGTGTTTCGAGACAAATTCAACAAGGATTTTGAAATTTATATAAAATGGCTGCTGAGCACCGTAATCGTGATGGTCTTCCACGATCTGCTGTCGCATCAACTTCACAAGGGCATCATTGATGTGGGACGGTTGCCCACTGCGCGTTTCATTATGGGCACTTTGCCGACCTTCGGAAAATTGGACACCAGCGACGCACCAACAATTTGCGGCAATAATCGGCACGTAGACCTGACAGAGCTCAATTCCGATCGGCGCGACGTGTTATGCAATAAGGAACTTTATCTCGGACCGAACCTCGCAGGCGGCGGGAGGTCGAATATGTGCCGCCATGATGGGCCACTACTATAGCATTCGAGGGACCTGTCCGGCCAGCACATGATTGATAGATCTGTTACTCATGCGCAATTTCCCCGCCTAAATGCGCGTACTTTAAAAAGAGAGGAAACTTACTTTCTGGATGCGCCTCGTATGTACTGAAGGGATTGAGATTAACTATAACACTATTCAAAAGTCAGAGCGTGTTCTAAGACAATCACTCGCGTTATTTGCTCTGGATTTTATTCACTGGAATAAGCTTAGCCGTGACTTCAACACTAAACACAATAACATTCCAATTCGGGATTAATTATTTTTAATGTTTTTTTTTCATTTAAAATTGAAATATTTTTGTTTCCAGAGAGAACAAATCATCACAAATCAATCATTTTGTTGAAGATATTCAAGAAAGGAAGAAAATAGTGTCTTTAAGCGACACAAATCTTTTATGCCAAGGAACGCTGCTATGGCTACAAAAAGAGAAAGAGGAAAACAAACACTTGTTTCGCAGAGGAAGAGAATGGTCGTTTGGAGGAAGAGAATAACATAAATGGGCAGTTTCTAATAGGGTTGAAAACGGAAGGAAGAAAAAGTAGTACTTTTTAAAAGAATCTTCCAATTAAACAGTCATTATATTTTTATGCCTTTATAATTGTTACTATTTGTTAGTTACCATTTGGATTAAATCATTATTAGAAATGTAAGAGAGACTGCTCATCGACTTTAAATTCACGGATCACTGTTTCACTGATTCAACATCACTGTTTTTATCAGAAGTTGTGATACAGCCTGAAATATAAAATTTATCCTTGTAGATGTTTCTAAAAAGTATATATAACAAATGTGCTGCTTTGTTTGCGTGATGCCCAAAACCAGCTAATAAAATAAAATTTTGAAGCAATACACAACAAAATATAAATACACTTTTGTACATTCTTTTTTCACTACCTATGTCTCCTTAAGATAAGTAATCTTTTTTCTTCGGGAAGGGGGGCTTTTTGTGCCTTTTACACACACTGTTTCACTTTTTGCGCCTGAAACACACAATCAATCCTAATTTCCAAAGAAGTTTCAGTATTGGTGCAACGATGGTGGAACCTTGTGTTTGAGTGTGTTTGAGTTTGGAAAGTAATATTTTCGTAGTTACTTGATTGCCTTCTGTGATACTGGTAAGAAACGATTTTGTTTCTCTCTTATTTGAGTTTTTCATTCTCTCCGAGTGATGCCAAAAAATAGTGACGAGGAATGTATAGGCAACCCGCGGGACAATAATGTGTATTGCGTGAGTGGGTTGCCAAAGCGACCGATTTCTGGGAGATAAAAATGCAGAAATTATACAGGTCGCGTCAAAAAATATTTATTCGACATCAGTAGAATGGCGGAAAGTAATACTAATATTATATTATTTTATTATTATTTTAAAATCTATTGTTAAGGAACAGATTTTATAAAGGAAAAAATCTTTATCTTTAATATTGTTGTTGTAGGAAGACTCCGAAAACATTTTGAACTTTTGCACTTTTCAAAAAATCAGTTTTCAAGGAACATGAGAACTGCACCATTCTCTTAATCGTCCTTCACACTATACAACAACAAAATTTAATAAAAAACAATAGAGCTATTTTTTTGAAAATTTGGAAAATGTCTCAGGGACTTCATGTAAAGTACTCCACCCCCAAAATTAAAATATCGGTTTCAAATCAAAGAATCGAGACATAAGCCAGATCAATAGGGAAATATCAATTTTGGGAGAAAATCGGCTAAACGATTTAGCTTCTTGCGTTGTTCACAGACAGACAGACAGACAAAACATTTTTTCGGTATGAAGGATCTACAAAACACGGATTCTGGCTATACCACGTGATAAGAGGCTTTTCCCCTTAAATTTAGCCAATTGTTTGCCGTTTTTCGCGCAACATTACATATATTTCTCTCTTTTTCGTAGTGAGAAAGTAAAAACGAATAGTTTACACGTAATTTGTGCTTGAAGTTATTGCAATTTGTGTTAAAAATTCTCAAAAATAGTTCAAAACGTTTTCGTCAATTTTATACATAAATAGAACAAGAAACACATAAAGAATGGCGCAAGTGTTATTTTTGTTGATATATATGAATTTCGATAATTGAAACTATGAAAATAATGCAGAAAGTATATGCTGTTGTAGAATTAGCTTTTCTTCGCGTCGAGAACTTGGATGAAGACACGCATAGTTGAACAACAACCAACTGGCTTGTTGCATGAACGTTCATTTGGATATTCACGTGGATTTGGAAAATATTATTGAAAGATTCGCTCAGCAAAAAGCTAGGAAACTTAGTTCTATAACCTGAATGTATTCAAGTAAATATTCTTCAAATGAGTAAATTCTTGTATGTTCGCAGCGTTGTTGCAAGCAATGAAGAACCGTGTAACCAATAAGATTCACTATCATGTGACTGCTCATGCCGCGTGGTTCGTTCTGTCTGTGACGTTTTTACAACAGCGTCCCATTTTATTTATTAAAAGATTTTGATCTCAAGGACACAAAACCTTTGAGTAGTACGTAACTAGAACAATAATGTACAAGACAAAAAATGTGAAGCGAATCACTATTCAGAAAACAATGAAAGGAAAGAAGATTCATACAGTCAAAGTTATCCCTTAGCAATATTTTACATTTGATCATATTCCTGATTTTACTCTTTTAGTCTTGTTTTTCTTAATAAATATGGTACAATTTAGCCTTCAGCAGATGCCATGTGAAAGGGGTATACCACTGGTAAAGAGATCTAATGTAGCAGGTTTATTCGCTGAAATTTTAGGAGATAAATGGAAGAACTAGATACTCCTGGCCTTGAATAATATTCCTTTATTTTTAATAAACCAATGAAAATAGACCTGTAGTGGATAGCCAAGAACTGAAAGATAGAGAGGAATTGTGATTGTTCAGGAGATGATCATGGCTGGCATATTTTTAATTTCCTTTTAGTTCTTTGTAATTTCTTTAGATGGCCCAAAATGGTTACATTAGCTACAGAAAGTGTTGTATTTTTGTACAATTATACAACATAAAATATTTGCGTACAAACTGCAAAAATCTATCCCATTATGTAATGATAATAGTAGCTCTATTTTATGCAAAAGAAAACATGTCCGCATGTGCTTCGGACAAAAGCAAACATGTCCAAATTTTCCAAGCAAAAGCAAACATATCCAGCTTTGAACCTGAAATATCGTCATAATTATAAATACCTGATTTATCTAGTAGACTATTGCAATGCGTGGACTATTGTAATCAGTCTATTGGAGACAGCATATTACATTGTTTGAAAAGACGATAACTTTCCAACAATCAGTTTTTCGCTGTTTCTGAAAAATATGATTTGATGGAGATGTTATTTGGATAAATGCTCATTTGTTTTATCTTCTTTCAGAGATCCTAGATAATTAGAAGTAAAAGATTTTAATGAAAATCATTCTAATTGAGAAAACGTAAGCCAAACACTAGTAGGAATGAACTGAGAACACTAAACCACTCTACTAAAGCTAAGTTAATAAACTGTTAAATTTACTAAGTACAATGTAATGATACATGTATTCTGTAATTAATATGTAGACTTAATTTATTTTTAACTTATTTCTTAATATATGTCAAGTTTCTCTTTCCTCCTTCCTTGAACTCTTAAATATTTGCATAGAGATCTTCACTTTCTTGCTAACTTACCATATCTTCTCACTCGGCACCCGGCTGCAAGAGTTTATGGTCGCGAGATCACCTAGAGGTTCGTACCGAGGGGCTTGTTGTTAATGAAACCAGATAGATTTTTTCTATTGCCTATTTTTTAACTAAGGGATCATAGCGAGCTATATAATAAAATAGAGGATAACTTGTCACTTCTAATGGGGAAGAGAATGTTTCTTGCGAATCCGCGTTACCGTACCTCACCCGTTGCCCTCATTTTCATCTCACACCCAGCGCTTACTTCACCGCTCCCCCGCCTCCTCCCGCGTCTTAGTGCCAAATTCCAATTTTCCACACTCCCAATCACCTTCTCAGCTTCTTACCACCACCTTGGCTAGCTCAGCTCTTTATTTTTACTCGTTACGCCTTTGCTTGAGTAGAACCTTTCGTGCCCAAGAGCAGTAGCTGACGCGAACGGTTTGGGCAGAGAACATGGGGAAGAGACGGTGCCTAATGTTAACAGGCGACGGCTCAATTTGCTCAGCTTCCCGTATGGTTTGAATGGAATCTACGGCCAATGGCGTCAAGTAAACCGGGAAATTTGAAATGAACACGTATTTTCCGGGGATTTGCATGTTCGTATTCTATTTTAAAATTCTATTATCCAAACAAATGGTTTGATACTTTTTCCATAAAATTCATAAACAGTATTAAAATTTTATGAGAATATAGGAAATATATATTGAATGACAAAGAACTTAAAATAGTAGAATATTTATTGAATCCACTGATAAAATCACTTTTTATAATTTTACAGTACATTATAATTGAAAATTATTTTTGTTATACAGTGAGAAAAATGTATACTCAATCACAGCTGTTATTGGTATGAATATTTTCCACATTTACAGATATGATACATTATCACAAGCATACAATAAACATAGAGCATAAATAGACCTTGTGGAAATAGTTAAGATACGTGGAATGCGTAGTAAACATTTATTTACAATATATTGAAGAACATGACAGGTTATTCACTTAAAAACCAATTCATAAGAGAAAAAATATTTGTTTATATTGCCGAAATCAACAAAATAAATTATGCTTTGCACAGCTATAATACTTCAAGTTCTTCTAAGCAGGAATCACTAAACATTTGAATCGGAGCAAATCAAAAGGTGCCAAGTCACATTTTTCGGGTTTTGAGACAATGGCAGGAAACTATGTCGCGACGCCCTCGCGACAGACTTCCGGCTGTCGCCGGTGAGTGGACCCAGTTGTCACTTGTCGATGTCAGCGTTCCGAGGCTATAAAATGGCGAGGATTTCACACCTCGGCCCACTTTATGTATTACCTCCTGGGATGCCGGAGGCACCCATCGTGCCGCCACTCAGTCAAAATGCAACGCAATTTTCCGCGATAATTGACATAGATTATTTTAGCGGGGCTTCGGTCAATCGTGTCGTCACGGCAGACACATGCGTGTCACGGTTGATACAAGGATGCCGGGTGCCCAAGACGAGTCTAATGCAATTGCAACCCTCCCGTCAGCTTCCTATTTTGCAAGCCTCTCACCCTTTAAATGAAGCCGCGAGTTATCCGCCCGAATTCAGTCACCCGTCGTGCCGTACCCATCCTGCCACATAGCACCGCGCAGCATTTCCGCCTCAATACTTGTCGCCGGCGTCAGCATCTCCGTGCGGCAACGCACCTAGGCAAGCACCGCCACGGCTTCCCGCTTACTCGCAATCGTTCGCATAAGGTGCAATGGATTGTTCGCTCAAGGCGCCCCTCTCTGTGTTACCACCTGTAATGTCGGAGGCACCCGTCATGCCGCCACCCACTCTCAGGACGAAGGGTTAACTACCCGGGTATGTATAATAAACCATATTAAGGATACTCTCTTTCATTTCCCCCTGCACGAGTTGCTGGGTTACTTCCTCTCCCCCTCAACTCGCGACATTTGTTCTTAATACACTTGCTATGCATGCAATGCTTTGTTGTCCGAAGCATCTGTGATGTCCTTCAATTTTTAGTGGAAAGATTTTTTTTTATGTCTGAGACTTAGAACCTATGCAACCTTAGAACCAGCAAA